CTTTTGCATAAGACTGTATATATATCCTTAACAGCTGAAGCACATTAAAATAAACATAGCTGTGGATGTGCTCACTTACACCATCAGTGTAATGATGCTTCTAAATTTAAAAATTGTGCTGCTGCAACATTTTCCATGCCTGGGGGTAATTTACAACAGGTGTAATAAATATTTCTCCCTAGTATCATTTAATTCAACCTACTGTACTTCATTTGATTTGTGTGTGGTGCATTCACATGAGATAGATCAGCTATACATCTATTCATTTCTCCAGGGGACATGGGGTGATTTTAATATTAAACTGGATTGTCAATTTTTCAATCCTATCCAGAGACCATACAGTAGATGTGATTTTCCCAACCCAGGAGTAACTGCAGAGGCATCAACCTGCTCTTTGTATTGCACTAATTGATCCTCCCACAATAGATGGTCAACTACTGTATGTCTTTCTTTAGGTGTAAAGTAACTTAATTCAAGTTACCTGAGGTTAGTGAAGATCCATTACTGATGTCATCGCCAGTGGAGTTGAGGAAGTCATCCAGAGCCTCCTGGTCTGATATATGAGCTAATGTCATCTGATCCAGAACACACATATCAGCTCCTATTGGCTCTACACACACAAATACACCCATGCACATCCACACACATACGTAAACATTAGTAAATCTTAAGAAAACAAAATTAAGTAAGCAACTTTTTTGGTAATATTTTACAATGCATTACACAAAAATGTGCATAGTTACTAGGGAATGAGCGAACAACAAATCAGGAATGATTTTCATTATGCATAAGTACTTCCCTCATATCCAGGCCCAGATGGAATCTGCACCCACAGAATTCCGACGACACCGCCCCAGATTTTGAAAAGTAGAAACTCAGAATGTGAGCACGTGTTTGCCCCCGCCTGCATGAGCACAAGTTGTATGATGTTGTGAATGTGTTTTGGCATTTTCCGAGTTAAGGATCCCACATTCACATCTACTTCACACCATGACTGGCTAGATGCGCATCTCTGTCTAGCGCTTCTTTTTCATTCCTTACACAATCTGTGACACTTCTCGTCACCTTCTAGAGCTGTTCCCCTCAGTAGCCTATGTGAACAGCCCAGGGTAATGTCTGTTAACAAAGATGTTAATGGCTCCTGACGAGATTGTCTGAGGCCGCACACTGTTATCCCAGCTCCCTCCACCTCCTCCTTTTTTACGCGGTAGTCAGTCAGTAGCCTGTGTCTAAAGAAACTCAACTTTGTATTTCAGTGGCCAGTGGCATTAAATTTTATGCTGCTGGAACTTCCAACAAATGTTCACACTGAGTGTCCTGAAATTCTCAAATTTAAAAGTTCATATAAAAAGATTTCTTTCACCCTGCTCAAGATTATTTTAAGTTGCTTTAATGCATTTTTGCTTAATTTAGCCAAAAAAAAAAATTGTTAGCTAAATTCATATCTTCTTTTACATTACAAGCAAAAACAAAAATCAAAATTAAGAAAAAAAAAACAATATTAACTACTCATTCATTAATCATCACAAAAGAAGTGTTACTTTTGTGAACCCTCAAAGTCCTCATGGCATGCTCATTTTGCTCATTTCGAGATATTTAATGTTTAATATTGGGTACCTCTAGATTAGTTTTGCACCTCTCATAACTCCAAATAGTCTGTAGTTAATTTCAAAACAATAAAACGAGAGAGCCTCTTTCTAATAATGAGAGGACAATTCGTGAACATCTTCGCTGCATCTTCCCCCACACGACCACATATAGTCCCAAAGTAGTGAAATTAATTCCAAAAAGTAGCGTAGCACTGACAATAACATCATGGATCGTTAGAATCTTCTCATTAACCCACATCACATCACATTTGGTAGACCCACTGGCCTCAAGCAGTCAAAACAAACAGGTACTCCGGGGGAATCCAGCATTGATGAGCTGGTCATTTACCACCCAAGGGGGCTTCACTGGCCGGCTGCTTGTAGGTTAGACCTGGCCAGGTAAAACAGCGAGTCCCTGTACAGGAACATTCCTGGGCATGCAGTAACCTCAGGCCCTGCATTTTTCTCCACATCCTCTGGTCACAGTGCAGCAGCAGAAGGGAAAATATGTCTACAAAATGGCACTGGTGGATGTCAGGCAAGCTCACATGAACACACAATGGCCTGGAGATTATGGCCGTAGAAGTACTAGAACATACAGTGGGTACGAAAAGTATTCAGACCCCCTTAAATTTTTCACTCTTTGTTATATTGCAGCCATATGCTAAAATCATTTAAGTTCATTTTTTTCCTCATTAATGTACACACAGCACCCCATATTGACAGAAAAACACAGAAT